TAAAACTTCCACTGCACACTGGTCTTCTGTGAGGTCGTGGTACTTCCCTGGACGGACCTGCCCATTCGTGCAACAGCCGAGGCTCCTGCGTGGCCCTACCACAGTTAAAACCTTCCTATTTACCTATTACTTCGACCGACAAAGTGTAAACTTGTAATGCTAAACACGGACCGATGAAATGCGAGCGATGCCAAAGAGGACATGCCGGCCCGTACGTTCTGCGAACGCGTGACGTCACCCGCAACTGCAGACGACTGCATTCAATACCTATTCAATTCTCGCTTTACACTCTTTGTGTTAAACGTGAACAATGTACATTACATGACGTTTTATTTAATTATGTATACACCGATGATGCTTTAGTAAAGATGACCATACTGCACGTCGTTTAAGAATTGTTCCGCTTTACATTAATATATGACATATAAGAGATAGCAGTCTATAGATTTACATTTCACGTACGTTAGTCATAGATAAAATCAGACCGAACAGAAGAGAAATTACTGCAATTGCTGTAACTTCACTGCCTCAGTTTCGGCGCTAGTGTCATATCGGCCCCTTATTTGTGTATATCATTGGTATATATGTTTTTTTTAAGCAGTTACTGGCACGTTTTGCTTCTCCTTCCTGAATAAGGCCTTGGTGTCCTTATTTTTTTATTAGAGAAAATTCCAAATGCAAATATTTATTTGATGAGTTTCATCATGATATCTACATACGAGTGCTATATGTGTGTGCCAACCTCACTTTATCTACATCACACCAAGATTGACTGGTTTTATAAAATGCCATTTATATTGACTTAGGTACAATACTGTATATAAAGTTAAATAAAAGAAACTTTCCTTCTGGGAGATTATGATATTGATATTTCTGTGAGCTAAAATCGTGTTGGGGGTTAAACCTAAGTACATTGGGAAGATCTCCAGGACAGTGATCCGACACTGTGCTGAGCATCAACATTTCTCAAGGAAAGCGTAGCGATATGACTCCACTCTCCATGATGTCTTCATCGCTAACTTGATTTCAGTGGACCAACTGGGTTAATAGTCTGATCTCCCAGGGTGATCGCGAGGATCTGATTACCCCTTTAGTCACGATGCTCCGAGAAGAGCAGAGGGTACCTTAATCCTCTTCTATTAGCGCAAGACCACAGCTGATGGCCTTATGCTAATATTACTGAACTATCGACATTCTAAACGAAACATATTATAGATTGTTATTAAAATTTGTAGAAAATATGGACGAAATGTTTTGGCAGCTGCGGGAATCAAATCTACGTTTTCCGGATTTACGCCCGGACATTAATTCATCGGAAATGCTCATATTCATTGTCAACAGTAATATTAAGACCCCGCTGAAATGTTAAGCATCAATTAGTTGGTCCCGAGTGCGGTGGTATAGTCTGACAGTTTAACCGCTGATCCATTGCATTATTATAATTACAGTCTATAAAGCCCCGAGCTCGCGGCTTAGCGAAAATTATGCTTTAAGCGGAGACGGCGTTCAGGTCGCGATTTTAATATTTGAACGATAATCCGATAAGTCGCCCTTTGTTGCCGCCAGCGGAGGCATACCCCTATCTTGGCTTAAGCGTAGCTTTAATTTTTTAAATTAAAACCTCTGAAGCTCACCGTAAATAGAAGAAGGGCTAGTTCACTTCGTATCGAGGTTGTTGTCCGTTGTAAAGTATTAAGATATGTAGAAAATTTGACTAAAGCTTTTTTGCCGCAGCGGGAATCGAACCCACGTCTTCCGCACATATGCTTTAACCACTAAGCTAAACGGCTAATTGCCACGCCGAAATCTCAACGTATTTTATCTACATTACTTTTTAATTTACAGCACACAAACAATTTCAAATAATGTTTTACAACGATAATTCGAACGAGAGATGATGTCTTTATCTATACAGCGTGTCGTTACCATCGCGACAATAAATGAACACACGTCTAACGCTACTTGCCAATAATCATAAAAAAATATTAACGTTAAACAAAATCCATAATTAAAAAAAATATTTGTCAAACAAACTAATTAAGAAAAAAAGAAACAAAATTTGTAACATCCTATACAACTCGCGTCACAGCGTCGTATTACAAGCCTCTCCGTCTAACAGTATGTTTTGTCATATCCTTTGTGACCTTTACAAATGAACTTTACGTTACGCTTTTATAGGTAAGGATGTTCTAAAATTCTTTGTTTTGGAAAATTTATTAACTCTGTAAATATTGATGTACAAAGAATTTAAATGTTTAATACAACTTTAAAAAGTTATCCCCTATATGCGTGTTCATTTATTGTCGCGATGGTAACGACACGCTGTATAAATTTAAATTTTATATTTAAGTTTTATACTAATTAGGGCTAACTTCTGCGCCTAAGACGAAACATTAAAACTTGTAGAAAAAGTTAAAGGGCCGCCACGGAAATCGAACCCGCATTTTCCGGAGTAACGACCAGACGCATTAACTACTAAGCTAAACAGCTCTGATTGCCACGGAGGTAAAAATCTCAAATAATTTAATCTTCATTATTTTTCATATTTTAAGCGATGTAAAGTATTTTAACGGCAATTCTCTGTGTGTGAATGATGAACCTGAACACGTTTCGCTGTGGCTTTTTTACGACGGAACCTCCCAATAAAAAGTATATAAAACACTTCATAAATGTCAAGTCAAGCTATCGTTTTTGAGTTTTTTACCCAAACATCTGAAGCTAGATTCTTTATATATAAGACATTTGGCCGATAAAATAATATTTATCCATATAAGTATCTACTTGCAATGAAAATTACGATGTAAGTTTATCGATATCCTTTGGCGAGGTACTGAAGAATTGGCTTAGTTTGCCACAGCACGATCGCATAGGGTATTTATATTATTTTCCATATAATATTCCCTGACCTAGATGTTTCATAATGCGCAATTTATTTAATATAAAAACGTCTCTACTGCAAATACAGTCCTATCCTAGTGAATAATTTCTTATTTGAAATGATAATCTTTAGGTACCTACTTGTAATGTTAAGAGCAATTCATCAAATTTCAGCCATACCTCGTTTAAAACGACACGATTTATGCCGTTACAGTTTACAATTACAAATGATAAAAGGTATATGAAATAGTGAAAGAAAGGAAATTATAGAAAGTTGAAGAAATACAACAAAGCTTCCCGTTCTTAAACTTTTTAGGAAGAATGTACAGCCAGTAAAATAAATAAACTATGTAATAAATCGAACTTAATCGCATGAAAATCCATTTAACTTATACATAGTTCCGTCTATTGAAGACACGCTTAAGTTTTCCAATAGTCTACCTATTGGAAAACTTAACACATGTCATGTGAAACTAGCTTCGGATTTATTAGCGGAAAATATTTGCAATTGAAACTCTTTAGGATCAGAGCTTGTTTTGTATAAAAAAACAGTTCTATGGTGTTGGTGGAAGTAATTTTTTTTTAAGGAAACCTCACATGGAAACCATGGTATCTGGCAAAATGAAAAATATCTAAAAATATCTAATTTATGGTATGTGAATTTCTATGAGTTCAACTTTTGAGTTCGATTCTTACACGGGACAACTTACTATTTGTGATCTACAGATAATTGTTTCGGATCTGGTTGTTTTTTTGTTGAAATTTATTTACCTGTGCCCGCGACTTCGTCCGCGTGGAATTTAAAATTAAAAAAAATCTAAAATAAACGTAGTCTTAGTTACTCCTTATTACATCAGCTATCTGTCAGTGAAAGTCCCGTCCAAATCGGTCCAGCCGTTTCAGAGATTAGCCGGAACAAACAGACATACAGACAGACGACTGAAATTGTGAAAAATGATATTTTGGTATATGTATCGAGTATACATCCGTATGCATTTCGTAAAAAGCGGTTATTTTACAAACAGAACTGAAAAACGTTGTACATTCGATGCTTTTAAAAAAAACAGGATATTTGGGTTTAATCCAAAACCTAACTAGTACATTTACTATGTATCGAACAGTCCTACGTCCGTATGCGTCTCACAAAAGAAGCAAGAAGTAGAAGTGTGGTACTTCTGGTCGTCTGGTGAGTGAGGTAGCCGGGGCAATTGAAAGGTGGCAATGCATCTGTAATCCTACGGCTGTAGCAAATGTCCATGGGCGGCGGTTGTCACTTATCATCAGTTGAACCGTCGCCTCGCTTGCCATCTTCTTACATAAAAAAGTCTACATCCAAGATTATATGCAAACTATATGGAACATATAAACTGACCTACTAACACAACCTCTGGTTTGCAATACTTTTAGGCAAGTAAACTCGTGTCAAAATATACGATAATTGATAACGTTTATCTAATGCCATCGTTACTGGCACCCGCCGTCGTAAACAAGGTTTCTGCAGATAAAGAGCATACATCCCTTAAGTACGCCCTTAAATTTTCACGAGTCACCGAAGTTACACGGAGGCGGGTTCAATTCCTGAATTCCTGCACAGGGAGAAGTTCTTACCACATTATTATCAGCGAATATTAAGCGTCATTTCGCTCGATATAAAAGAAATCAAATCTCGAATCGCTGAATTGTGAAAATGAGTGAGAGCGTAATTTCCACGTGGATTCGCCTGATCGATTTGTTTGGTATGCGACACAAATGGAAAAAATCGAAGACTAAAATTCAAGCATGCTGATCAAACCGTATCGTTTGCAATGATTCTTAAAAGGCTCTATTGTGTCTCATTTACTCAGGATACATCGTAGGCCAAGAAGGTTTAACGCCAACGTTAACCCACGCTTCAATATTCTATTATCCAAAAAAGTTATTTAATTCTACTTCAATCGTATCTTCGATCCTACTTTAATCGTATCGGTTCGACAAAACGAATTCAATAGATGACTCAAGTATATAGTATGTTAATTCATATAATAATAAGCTACATAATAATAATATTTTATCCAGTTAACACTCGGCGTTTCACTTCGAGGAGTCATGAAGGAAAGCCGTGGGCAAAAGATAGTTCCATTTTATGTATCACTTCGGAAGCGTAAACTCAACTCGCTTGCTTCCAACTCAGCACCTGAGCGCCCCCTGTAATTAAATAACCAACTCCTGTCAGAGGACTGCGAGTCGTCCATCATCGCAGCCGGCCCACCTGCTGTGCGCACAATTACTCTCTCCCGTGTCTCTTTGAGATACACTGTCTTCTGCTTTATTTTCGCTACTGCATAAAGTCGATTGAATTCGCTCTAGGGGCATTCAAAGATTTCATTTTCGCACCTAAACATCGATTCCAACGTCACATTCAAGTTGATAATTATTCCGTGATTCCAGCTGCTTTAAGTAATAATGTCGCCTGTTTTACAACCCTTACGTTATCTTGGTTTATTAATCCCTTAGTTGACTTAGTGCATTTTTTTTACCATAGTGTGTTCTAGTGAAGAATACTCAGTCAAATTTTCAAGTTCAAGTTCTCATATTACGTGATGTGAGGTTGATTGCGACTTCCCCTGTCGTCGTTGTCAAATAATGTGAACGTTCCTAAAAAACCGGCCAAGTGCGAGTCGGAATCGCTCTCAAAGGGTTACAATTGGTAAAAAAATCATGTGTCTTGTATAGGAGCCACACTTAAAAAAAAATTTATTCTGTTTTTAGGATTCGTTATTATAACGGCAACAGAAATACATAATCTGTGAAAATTTCAACTGTCTAAGTATTACGATTCATGAGATACAGCCTGGTGACAGACGGAAAGACAGACAGACAGGCAGCGGAATCTTAGTAATAGGGTCCCGTTTTACGTTTCGGTACGGAACCTTAAAAATGATATCCACCTGCTTTCTGTAACCTCTATCCCTTTCTCCATTGCCACCGTTTTCACAATTATTGTGTCCAATCGCGGGTCTATTTTTCCATTAATTAAAATCGGCATCCGTCCCAGGCGCAGTGGGGGCGGTGGGGGCGGTGGGGGCGCGGGGGCGCGGGAAGGGGGAGATATCATCTCAGCGCGGCGGATATTCAATTACTACTGCGGCAGCATTGTGCGCGGCGGATTGTTCTAGACTTAACTCAACTTAACGAAACCTATACTCCGCTATTGTTTACTCTAAACCGCGTTTACCAACCTGTATATAGAATCCTTATATAATAAAAGCAAGCTTTCGAAACCCTAATGGAAAAGATAGGGATGTTTCCACGTTTCCAATATTTTATTTGATATTTAGTCTCTAAATCGTAGAAGGAAAAGGCGGAGATTTTACAATAACGAGCAGTGATTGAGATGAGACAATAGCATATTAATTAGCAAGAAATTTCTTAGGTATTTTTTATTTATTCTTTTTATCTATGCTTACCTTGAATCACCGCGTTACAGAGTTGACAATCTATAGCTGTTTTTGGTTTATGGAATATTTGTTACGATTTATGGTATCGAACGCTTTTAAAAAAAATGTTTTCCTAAAATGATATTTAAATGTCTATTTTAATCTCGAAATCGTTTCAAATTGATTATTAAAACAGATTGTTAGTAACAACCGATTCTGTACACTCACATAAATAGAACCAATCGGGTCTGAAACGTGGCAATACTCGTAACACGCGATATGAAATGTCCGGACGTAATCTGGTAATCCCTCGCGGTGCGCGCGGCGGGACAGCCGGCGTGCTGGGGTGACCAAGCGATTGATATATTAAGGAATTTCAAAAATAATTCTTCTTGGAACGTATTATTTCTGTTTCTAACTAGCTCTTCAAATGTGAATATTACATATTTGTTGACTCAACAATGCCTGCGTGCATTATTGAGTCAACAAGACCTCCCTGGGAGAAATACCACATCCTCGCAGAAGATAGACGTACACCACGACTATTTGCATATCGTAATATGAAGCTGAAGTTGGCAACACAACAGCAACCATGGGCTAACCAAAGAAACTTGTTGTAAACGGTTTTTTGACGTCTGGTTTAAATAATTGGATTTTTCCTAGGTTAGGTTATGTGCTATAAAAATATAATATTGTAATAATAAATAGTTTCTACTTACATTTGTCTTCACGTTCAACTTTATTTTATGAGAACATTCTGTGTTCGCCCATCGTAGAACAACACTGAACTCTATGTCTTAAGTATTTTCTGTAATGTTGAAATATTTCATAAAGGTTGGACTTACCGGATAGTGCAACTTCATAAGTATAATATTAATTCACAATGTCATTGTCACCCTATCGCTTGGGGCAAATATAAATGTTAATGATTTAATTAGACCGAGCTTCGTGGGATTAGGGATTTGCTTTGCCGCCGAATTGGCTGCTGTGACGGCTCTAACTTGACGTAACTTCGAATAACTCAGTTCGCTTCATTCTAATTCAAACGCAGAGAGTCGGATACAGAATTAAGGTTAGCATCATAAGACGTAGATTAATTGATAGGCTTGGCTTATATGTGTCTATAAGACGTATGTAAAATTAGTTCATACATTCAGAGACTTTTTCATTCGTTGCCACAGCGTCGCATTACAAGCCTCTCCTTCTAACAGTATATTTTGTCTCTTTTAAATTCATTCAACCCATTTATATGCTTTGTGACCTTTAGAATTGAACTTTACATTACAGTTTTCTGTCACCCTGTATAATTAGGTCATACACACTTTTAAAAACAACCAACTAAAAATCGAAAATTACACTCGATGTTGTTGACTTAGCATTAGGGCCTCAAACAATTACGTATACAAGTTATTTCACATAAGGATTGGAACACACCTGAGTAAATAATTAGCTCGTAATTGCCCCTCTAATTGCTTGACTGATGAGGCAGAAGCTTCACGTCGCCCATCAGCAACGGCCCTCATAAACGGATCACACCTCGGGTACATCGCGTGCACAAGTGATCTTGAAAGGCGTTGACATGAACTCTACAACAAACAGTGTGGAGATATTCCCTGTAGGGGCTAATTCCTAACACCGTTTATGATGATATAAATGGTAATATAATTTATTATACTGATAATAAACTTTATTACGAAATTGATATAGATACAATGATACACTATGATATGATGATTATTATAATTTAGAACGGGTGGTGGAATTGATGACCGAACGTGAACTAACTGCCTGTTTAAATATATGTTAATGTTTACAACATATTGGTAGACTTCAGGTAAAAATTGCAAAGAAAGCTAAGCAGCAGAAACAGTGAACGGAACAATTCCGTTCAATTTGTATTCAGTGAAACGAGGAAAAACTATGAAAAAACATTAACAGTCTCGATTGTATTTCGTTTATTATTAACACGCTTATTCATTTATTTCTCTAACTTTATTTTGTCTCGTTTCAGGTAAGCGGCGCTTTCAGGTTTAATAAATTGCGTAAGTTTCAGCAGTAAATATATCTTTAATAAACATCACGCGGTAATATTACGTAAACAATGTTTGTTTATATAGTTACGAAAGCCTGAAGATGATATTTTCCCACTATATTATATATTTTAGATGGAAACGGCGACATCATTCGATCCCCAGTCTAGTTGACGAAAGAAAATTAATAGTGAAACCGGAGCGGCAAGCCTTTCTCCCCCGAGGCTAAAAATCGTAGCGGCCACAAATATCGCGCCCAATTTTTCTACAATGTCATTTTGTGTAATCAGTTGTGCCATAGAATAGAAAAGCAGTATATTGACTTCTTGATTTTACGCGAATATTATACATACAAAAGCAGTAGTCAAGTGTCAATTCAGAGACTCTCAAAGATAAATTTAAACAAAACTGTTTTTGAATATCCATATTGATGTATATTATAGATGTATTGCAATTCGCAAAAACCAGTATAGTGTAATGGTTTGTGAATTGTACAGAGCATAGAATTATTGATCACCTTTCTATATACAATTTTATACGTCTTTAAGGAGTAAGTGGTTCCACTGTAGTCTTATATTCTGCGGCTGATTTCGGGCAGGCGTGTTGTTTACATCATAACACCGATCAAGTACCATAGAGTCAGCGGGGGTGACGAGCACTCCTGAGCCGGGTTTTCTAAGGAACAACAATTATACGCAAAGTCTCGGTATAACGAAATATCTGTTCTGTGTATTTCACAAACGGCTAAAATAACTTCTTTGCTTGTAATGTTATTTTTTTTGATATTTTTTCTAAAGAAAGTTTCTTAAACTGTTACTCATTTTTAACATTGCTTATGTTTAAAATTTTCTAAGAAGAAATGCGTAACACACTGGGTACACAATTATTAAATAATTTTATATGTACCTTTTTGCTTTTGTTAAAATAACATTTAGGCGAATATTATGACACTGAAGAGCCTTTCAATTACTTAGACGGTACAAAAAATAAAATTGTCATATGTACACGTATACAAAGATTTTATACACGAAAATCGTTTAAAATGTGAAGCTTGTGCCACAATCATTCCAAATCAATATTAAGCGCCTATTAAGTGCCCGTGCGTCCCGCTGGGAGGTAATTGCACAGAGGACTGTACTTCGCTCGTAAGCCTTATCGTCACAGCATAAGAGCGAGATTTGCCTGTTTCTAACTCCGTTAAAACTATCGGCTGTAGTGGCCTCAGTAGTTTTTAATAACCCGCAGCGAAGGCGGTTAAATTTTACGAGGTGTCGCCTCCAAGAGAACGTTTACGAGCGAACCGGACGTGAGCCTACACCGGAACGAGAGGGATGTAAAAATCGCAGCGCTATCGGCCTCTCGAAGGCAGTGACGGCTTTTAGGGGCGAACTGCGAATTTCTTACGTATATATTTATATACATCAACTGAACCGGGCGTAAGTGTAAAAAGCTAACCTCTAATAACAAGTGAGCAGTGGTCATGTATAGGATATACAATACCACAGAGCTTTAAAATGCATTGCCAATCTCTAGGATAGTTACATCGGGCTAATCGTAGAAGCGTTAAAAATACTTTGGGTCTCTGATTGATTTCTTTAATTCATTAGGTCTGTTTAACTAAATGTAATCTAACATATTTTTTTTTTACAAAAGACATTGCCCTCACTTTAGAATTACAGTATACTGTGTTGCAAGGACGTTTTTGCATACATAAATTTCACGTGGACAAACACCCAGATGCGAAACAACTATCTGTGAGTCACACAAATAGTTTTCCCGTGTAGGAATCGAACCCACGACCCTCGAAACCGAAGCCAATGCCTTGACGACTGTGCCACGGAGTTACCGCAAGAATTACTTAACACAGAATGAAAATGATTGTATTGTATACATAACAAACACGTAGTAATAAATATACTGTATACTACTTCTATTTAATGTAAAACATATAAATACATAAACATAATACTGTCGCTTTTCTGAAGCGATATGGTGAAATCTCGTGTCTTAAAAGAGAACGGAACATACGTTTATTATGTCAGTGCTTTCATTATACATATATACAAAGTTGCATCTCGTGATAAGTAAGCTTCTCAACCTGACATAAACATCAGACAATAATTTGTACCCGAAAAAAAAATACAGTCGTTATTTCATTCCGCCGATAAGGTTGAGTTAGAGTGTTCTTATCGAAAAATTCATTGCTTTAAAAATGTTATCAATGGACCGCCCTGTATGTAAGGGCAATCCTGAAAGCCAATTTCCGTTCATTAGATTTCCAATCGACTTGAAGTTCTGAAGTAACAGCAACAGTCTGTAGATACTGAGTCGCCGGAATTATTAATGTTACATCACTATGCAATACATGGAAGACATCTGACTTCAATCGTGAATGACTATGGAGTTTAGTGTCATCTTAAGTTTTAATTTCAGCAACGGATATAGTCACAATGTTTATACCTTCGCTTTAATACACTTTCACCTGAATTGAATACATCAATTTCGGATGGAGTAGCGAGTAAATAAAGTTTCAAACGCTGCCAGGTTACAGGAATATATGTATGTAATAATTCCGACACTGGAAATTCAGCTCTGCAACTTTTGACTCCTCAAGTTCTTACTTGGATACTCGTGGACGTATAAATGAT